GTTTTTTTTTTTTGTAGCCGAGTTTTGCTTTTGTCACCCAGGCTGGGGTGCAGTGGTGCGATCTCGGGTCACTGCAACCTCCACCTCCCAGGTTCAAGTGATTCTCCTGCCTCAGCCTCCTGAGTAGCTGGGATCACAGGAGGCTGCCAGCATGCCCGGCTAATTTTCATATTTTTAGTAGAGACAGGGTTTCACCATGTTGACCGGGTTGGTCTCAAACTGCTGGCCTCAGGTGATCCACCTGCCTTGGCCTCCCAAAGTGCTGGGATGAAGGCATGGGCCATTGCACCCGGCCCCTAATGTGTTTCTCATTCGTGGCACTACTGGAATGATCTATAGGGCTACACATCCATCCATGGGTCCATCCACCCATGCGTGCACGCATCTATCCACCCACCCACCTATCACTATGTCTCGACGTTTTCTCCACCAGAGCTTCACAAGGACAGGGACTTGTTCACTGCTGAATCCTGGTGCCTGCACAGAGCAGATGCTGAGGACTGACCCTCTCTCTCTCCATTTCTGGGTTCTGTAGCTGCCTGCTCCTTCAGATTGCATTCCATGCTCTGCATCCTATGCATCCAAAGGATACACACATTCTTTTCCTGGTTGCTCCAGCAAAAGTCTCACAATTGGCTTTCAGTGGCCAGGCCTGGGTGATGCGTCCCCTGGATCCAGGGACTGGGGCCAGCCCATACAGACCACAGGGACTGCAAGGGGGAAAGGAGCGGAATCCAGAGGAAATCAGGGAACTGTTGTCAGACCAAGGGGGGATAGTAACACAAATCCATTCTATTTGGTCAGCTTTAATCATTTAGGAAGAGGTCAAGGAAATTATAGACACAGACACACTGAGAGCTGTAAGAGCTCACATGTGATTGGCTGGGCGTGGTGGCTCACGCCTGTAATCCCAGCACTTTGGGAGGCCGAGGCGGGTGGATCACCTGAGGTCAGGAGTTTGAGACCAGCCTGGACAATATGGAGAAACCCTGTCTCTATTAAAAAGACAAACATTAGCCAGATGTGGTGGTGCATACCTGTAATCACAGCTACTCGGGAGGCTGAGGCAGGAGAACTGCTTGAACCTGGGAAGTGGAGGTTGCGGTGAACCAAGATTTCACCACTGCACTGCAGCCTGCACAACAAAAGTGAGACTCCATCTCAAAAAAACCCCAGAATTCACATATGACAAGTGGTATGGTGAAGCAAACTGGAGAAAGCACGACCACTGGGGGGCCACGTACTTCACCAATGATTCCTTCGTTTGCAAATGTTCTAGATGTTTCTTTCTCACCGTGATCTCCTAAGTCCAGCTCTCATCAATACACATTCCTTAATCTAATAAAAATTGTTTATTATTAATAGTGGCACTATTGGCCAAGTGCAGTGGCTCACGCCTGTAATCCCAACACTTTGGGAGGCCGAGGCGGGTGGATCAGGAGGTCAGGAGCTCAAGACCAGCCTGGCCAAGATGGTGAAACCCTGTCCCTACTAAAAATATAAAAATTAGCTGGGTGTGGTGGTGGGTGCCTGTAATCCCAGCTACCTGGGAGGCTGAAGCAGAGAATTACTCGTACCCAGGAGGTGACGTTTGCAGTCAGCCAAAGTCACATCACTGGATTCCAGCCTGGGCCACAGAGCAAGACTCTGTCTCAAAAAAAAAAAAAAAAAAAGTAGCACTATTTATCGATCATTCACAAAATGCTAGGCATAATGCTAAGACATTTATGTGGATTATCTCGTTTTTAAATTTGTTTTATTTTTGTTTTGAGACAGGGGCTCACTCTGTCACCCACCTGGAGTGCAGTGGTGCCATCAAGGTGCACTGTAGTTGACACCTGGGCTTGAGCGGTCCTCTCACCTCAGCCTCCCGAGCAGCTGGGACTATCGGTGTATGCCACAACACCTGGCTAGTTTTTGGATTATCTCGTTTTATCTTCACAACAATCCTATGAGGTAGTCACCACTATTGTCCCATTTTACAGATGAAGCAAGCAAGGTTCAGAAAGGTTAAGTAACTCCCTTGAGGTCAAACAGCTGGCATGCTGAGGAGTTCCTTGTAGGCTTGGGCAGGGCAGAGCAGGGTGGGGCAGGGCTGGCCTGAGTGTGAACAGCAGAGAGTAAAGACTTTTTTTTTTTGAGATAGTTTCTTTCTTGTTGCCCAGGCTGGAGTTCAGTGATGCGACCTCGGCTCACTGCAAATTCCGCCTCCCGGGTTCAAGCGACTCTCCTGCTTCAGCCCCCCAAGTAGCTGGAATTACAGGCATGTGCCACCATGACCAGCTATTTTTTTTTGTATTTTTAGTAGAGACAGGGTTTCTCCATGTTGGACAGAGTTTCTCCATGTTGTTCAGGCTGGTCTCAAACTCCTGACCTCAGGTGATCTGCCCGCCTCGGCTCCCAAAGTGCTGAGATTACAGGCGTCAGCCACCGTTCCCAGCCAAGAGAAGAAACTCTTAAGGCAGGGCTCGGTAGGGTCTGCACCAAGGAGAGCTTTCTCAGTCCCCCAGGAGCAGGGATTTACTGGCCTTGGGGGAGCTCAGGCCCTGGTCAGCAGACCTGAATGCAATCTCTTAGGAATACACAGCGCCTTCCACCGCCTCTCTCCTCCCATCTCAATTCAGAATTGTAAGAAACACCAGGAGAAATGGAGTGAGCACCAGGCCTGTGCTTTGGTGGGGCCACGGTGGGTGTGATTTCCTTTGCACTGTTCGGGCCTGGCAGTTCCTGCCAGTTAGGAGATTTCTCGAGACTTCAAAGGCGGCACACAAGTGGAGTGTGAAGCAGATCGAGCGCTTATAAAGAACTAACGCCTACAACGATACGGCTTCCCTGTGATTCCTGAGCATGGGGAGAGTGCAAAGAAGCAATTAAAGTCTCTTGCTAACCCTGGGAGAAACGAAAGCAGATTCTATACGCAGTAGTGTGACCAAGTTCACAAAAATGTTATATTCACATTCGAAGCTACTGAGGCTCAGGCTCAGCTGCAGTGGGAGAGGTATCACCATACCCAGAGAAAAATGGCCTGCTATGGAAAAAGCTAACATAATGGCATGCATATTATTCTGGAACAAAATAAGTAGAATAATATACCTTATATTTCTGAATATATATATATATGAATATATAACTGAAACTTGTTAAGGGTTGCAGTCGCAAAGCGGCCAACATCTTGTTGCTTTCTCGTGTTTTCTTTATAAAACATTTTCCTTTGTATGCTCAGAACCACCTTCTTGCTTCCAGAACGTTGTAAGAATAAAATTGCATTTCTTTTTTTTTTTTTTTGACGGAGTCTCACTCTGTCACCCAGGCTGGAGTGCAATGGCGCGATCTCGGCTCACCGCAACCTCCGCCTCCTGAGTTCAAGCAATTCTTCTGCCTCAGCCTCCTGAGTAGCTGGGACTATGGGCGTGTGCCACCACACCCAGAATTTTTGTATTTTTAGTAAAGATGGGGTTTCACCATGTTGGCCAGGATGGTCTCAATCTCTTGACCTCATGATCCACCCGCCTCGGCCTCCCAAAGTGCTGGGATTACAGGTGTGAGCCACCACGCCCGGCCTTTTTCATCTTTTTAAAATAGAGACAAGCTCTCACCATGTTGCCCAGGCTGGAGTGCAGTGGCACTATCTCAGCTCACTGCAACCTCCACCTCCTGAGTTCAAGCTATTCTCCTGCCTCAGCCTCCTGAGTAGCTGGGATTACAGGCACCTGCCACCGCACCCGGCTAATGTGTGTGTGTGTGTGTGCGCGCGCGTGTGTGTGTGTATATATATGTGCATGTGTGCGTATTTTTTTTTTTTTTTAGTACAGACTGGGTTTCACCTTGTTGGCCAAGCTGGTCTCAAACTGCTGATCTCGGTGATATGCCCGCCTTGACCTCCCAAAGTGCTGCGATTACAGAAGTGAGCCACTGTGCCAGCTGAAATTGCATTTTTAAATGTAAAAGCCCCAACAGGAAGGAGACTAAATACTGTTCCCAGGCTCCACGCAGCTCTCCCACGGGTCTCACGTGGGTCTCCATGCTGAAAGCTTGGGATGGGGGAAGCCAGGGGAGGGAGTCACACATCAGTGGCCAGTGAGACTCTGAAGAAGGTGCTGCTGTTCGTTAAGACTCTGCTGTAGTGTGTACAGTCTTGCGTTGCTTTCTCCTTGCTTTTTCGAGCATTGTGAATTCCCCAAATGAGTTAACCGTAAATCAGCTTGGATCTTGGATCCTTTCTTTGTATCTGACTAGGGGACTTCAAGTGGTAGACTTGACTAGCCTTTTCTCTTGTGGAGACCAGGGCTTATAGAAGCAATACTGACCTGGAACTTGTGTTAGCCACTGCTAATGGCCTGAGCCTCGATTTCCTAATCTTTCCTACATTTCCTGAAAATGAGGAAACAGCTTCAGTTTCCCCTAAGGAACCTGCCTATAAAAGAATTCCATGAATCTATGATGTCATAAGACAGCAGTCCCCAACCTTTTTGGCACCATGGACCAGGTTTCACGGAAGGTAATTTTTCCATGGATGGGGTGAGGGGTGGTGTGGGAAGGATTCAAGCGCATCACATTTGTTGAGTACTTCATTTCCGTTATGACTACATTGTAACATATAATGAAATAATGATACAACTCACCATAATGTAGAATAAGTGGGAGTCTTGAGCTTGTTTTTCTACAACTAGATGGTCCCATCTGGGGGTGATGGGAGTCAGTGACAGATCATCTGGCATTAGATTCTCATAAGCAGCACGCAGCCTAGATCCCTCACATTCGCAGTTCACAATAGGGTTCTGGGGGCTATGAGACTCCACGGCCACCGCTGATCTGACGGAGCTCCAGTGGGAATGGGAGCACTCGGGGGAGTGGCTGTGAATACAGATGAAGCTTTGCTCACTTGCCTGAAGCTCAACACCTGCTGTGTGTGTGGCCCGGGGTGGCAGGGAGGGGCAGACCCCTGCTAGAAGAGAATTGAAGTATTCAGAATGGAATAATTAGATCTGAATTACTTTCACTGTTTTCCTAATAGTTCTTCCTCCCATCCCCCAGTGGGTATATTACGTCTCCTCTCTCTGAACCAGTAACTCAAGCATATATGATCTCTGTCTTGCAAGACAGCCAGAGATGATGCTAAGTCCATAAAGCTGTGACCCAGAGCCACCGAGGCCAGGCCAACGCCCCGTGAGCAGCACACAGCCCACACACATCAAGCTCTTCTCGTGAGTCTAAGCTGACGCCTTCAGCCGCAGTGTCTGACTCTACCGACTTGCTTACTAAAACATGCCACCAAGGACTTCCCCCACGATAAGGAGTAAATTCACAGCCTTGCAGGTGACATAACCATGTTCTTTTCCCTTCCTTTCTACTAGTTCTAGTTTCAGGTGGCAGTGATAAAAGGAGTGTTCTCCTCCTCTTAAACTCTAGATCAGAAAAATAAATGAATGCGAATAGACATCCCCCGCTCTTCATTCTGTATCAAAGCCCTGGGAAATCCATGCTACCACACCCAGACTCACTGAAGCCGACAGCGTGAGCTCCTGCATTCATTTCCATGGGACTTGGCATTGTGGAAATCATTGGATGGCATTGCACTCCAACACTCCTTTCAGGAAACAGAGAAAATGTGCCTTTGCTAGTAGGTGGGGTGAAAACTCGTCTGAGAGATGTAGGTTTCACCCTGCGTTCTCAGTATCGTCTTGTCAAGAGGAGCTATTACCAAGTCCCAAATGAGCCTGGCAGCACTACCCTCAGTGAGGTGTTTAAAACTGCCTTCCCTAGTGAGAACGAAAACACTGCTTTTGTTCCCATTTTTAAAACGAACTGCATAGTATTACCACTATCAATGAGGTGTTTAACACCAAAATTGCCTTCCCTGGTGGGAAGAAAAACACTTGCTTTGTTTCCTTCCTTAAAATTAATTGAGGTTTTAAAAAACTTCTCCTTATTCAACCAACAGTCACATAAAGGGGAGAAGAGGCGAAAATGGGATTTTAAAAAGCTGCCTTTGGTGGCCCATCAAACACCATGAGCGCATTCTTCCTGTTTAGACCACTTCTTCTCCTTTGCTTCAAGTTCCCCCTTGTATTTTATAACCTCGGCCTCCCTGTGAAGCAGGAGGGCTGCAAACAAACCTCTGGAACACTGAGCCGGGAAGGAAGTGGTAATTTTAATCGGCCGGGAGCTGCAGCAGCACAGATGCCAAAACCACCAAGCTCCCCGACTAGAAAATCCTGTCCTCTTTTAAAGGCTCACAGTCTTAGAGGTTACATGCGGGAGGGTCGTGATCGAAGAGGTAAGTGGAGCACGTGACTTAGGTGGGGGGTCTAATCATGATTAGCGAGAACAGTACCTTCTGGGGAAAATTCCTCCACTTCAAATCCGTCATCTAGAGAGAGGATTGTGGTTAGCACTAGGGGGTTTACTCCCTGAGACCTGACTGGAGGTGCCAACTGGTCCCTCCTCTGGCTGACTTTTAACTTCTCCTTTTGAGATGCAATGTAGAAGGCTAACGGGGAAATGGCCTGAGAAGCTCGGTGTAGTCCTTGGAAGGGAGCTAATCATGAGATCCTTGCTAGGATGCATGGAGGAATGAAGGAATGACTACATTGATCCACATATTCTTTTTTTTTTTTTAAGATGGAGTCTTGCCCTGTCACCCAGGCTGGGGTCCATTGGTGTGATCTGGGCTCCCCTCTATCTGTGCCTTCCGGGTTCAAGCAATTCTCCTGCCTCAGCCTCCTGGGTAGCTGGGACTACAGACACACACCATCACACCCACTAATTTTTGTATTTTTAGTAGAGATGGGTTTTCACCATATTGGCCAGGCTGGTCTTGAACTCCTGACCTCAGGTGATCTGCCCACCTCGGTCTCCCAAAGTGCTGGAATTACAGGTGTGAGCCACCGCGCCCGGCCTCATCCACATATTCTTTATTAGCTTGCAAATTTTCCACAAGGCTGCTCTACCTATTCTCTAAGGTTAAAGAAACTTACAAAAAGTTAAAATCGGTCTGCAGTATTAATATTTAAGGGGGCTTTGGCAGATATGGCTAATGATGCCCCCTTCCCTCATTTCCTCAGGGGGTTCCAGAGGCGGCTCTAACCTTTAAAACTGCCTGCCTCTGCTTGAGACACAGGTGTTCTATGGCCACTGCCTTTTGCAAGTCGCAGCTGAATACAGAAGGCAAGAGAAGCAGAGCCCTGACTTTTATGGGCATAGAGTAGTTTCAAAGAACAAATGAAGACCCAGGCTGCCTCATATCCAGATAGGAAATGACCCAATGGAAAGGAAAACTTGAAGGGTGAGGGGGAAGCTAGGGAATCCGCTGCTGATATGGTTCCCTGAAGAGAGGCCCCATGTCCTGTCTACCTGCACCTCCAAGGCTGAATTGCAACGGGAGGGGAGAAGAAAGGGAAACAGAGAGGTGAGGAAGGATGACGGCAACCTTAGAAGGTCTGGGGGATCCGTGAGGAAGATGACAAAGCCCATTCCCAGTAGCAGCCAGCGAAGCTGCAAGACTAGCACATTCCCTCTTCCTGGTATGGCAGGGAGGAGCAGACTAGAAAGGACGGTGGGCCATGTCTGGGCAAGTGGACTGAGAGGGCCTCACGGAGAACCCACACTCCCCAGCATGGCACAGTAGGTTATGGAACATTCGCTGTGCCGGAAAGAGGCATAGGCACAGCAGAGAGAGTCGCCTGACCTAGAGAGGCCGGGCTACAGGAATGCGGAGGGAGCAGCAGCGGCCCGCGTGGGCCTACGTGGACCGAAACCTGGTGGAAAGCGGCCCGCGTGGGCCTACGTGGACCGAAACCTGGTGGAAAGCGGCCCTCGTGGGCCTACGTGGACGGAAACCTGGTGGAAAGCGGCCCGCGTGGGCCTACGTGGACGGAAACCTGGTGGAAAGCCGCCCGCGTGGGCCTACGTGGACAGAAACCTGGTGGAAAGCGGCCCTCGTGGGCCTACGTGGACGGAAACCTGGTGGAAAGCGGCCCGCGTGGGCCTACGTGGACGGAAACCTGGTGGAAAGTGGCCCGCGTGGGCCTACGTGGACGGAAACCTGGTGGAAAAATGGCTATGTCAGGGGATGCTGGGAGCTCCTTCCTTGGCCCTGCCCCTGCCCTGTGTCTCAACACTGTGTCCGCTCCTTGGAATGGGTACTCAAATTCATAGAGAAGGAGGAAAGATCCTAGGTGACAGAAATTAAGTTTCCACCATTTGGTAGAATTGGACCTTAAAATAGAAAACAAATTAAATCAGAGAAAAATATTGTAGCGACATTTGTTTTCATACCTTGAAATTACGTACAGAAATTTGTACCTACTGTACTCAGAATTCATTTGAAAAAACATGTTCTCTGCGGAAATGAAACAGAAACAATTGTTAAATTTTGTCAGTATTACCAAATAAAACCTAAGGTGTTTCTAAACATTAATTAGAGTTAATTAGATTTAAACTGTGTGACTTTATATACATCTCTAATTTATTTCTTATGATTCATAGGTGCTCATATCCCGTTTGACAGGTAAGGAAATGAAGATCCAGAAAACAGGAATAATTTGCCCATAGCCACAGTGGTGGGAAATAGTAGAACCAGAACTCCGACTTAGAAATGTCTGACTCCTAAGTTGCTATTTTTGTGCACGAAATTAGGCTCATTTACAAGGCAACGACACATTCATGAGTGGGAGCCCTGGGTACAAAGAAGCACGGATTTTTTACCCTTCCTGTTCCTAATTTCCAAAGGGTCCAATAATGAAGTGGATGGTTGTGGTCATAATCTTCGTTTTTGGATTTAACAAGTCTTGGCTCAGTTCCTATTTATCTTCCAGTCACCACACCTCATGAGTTAATCAAAACTCATTAAACTTGGCCAAGCAGTATGTGATAGGAGAGAGTTCTAGAGCAGAGGTCAGTAGAACGACTATGTTCTTCGGTTTCTTATTCTTGCTCTGCCATTAACCAATTGTTTCACCTTGGCCAATAAGTTAACCATTCTGAACCCAGGTTTCTTTGCCTATAAAATACATGCAATCTGTAAGGTCCCCCTCCAGCTCAAACTTTCCATATTCTGAAGAGTCAGGATCAAGTTTATTGTTTTATGGGAGGTGAACTGCTGTTCTCCAAACACCAGCTCATGTCTGGACTCCATCTCTCTCCTACATTCTGGCATAAGGGACAGGTGTAGAGCTTCACAAAAGGATGGGAAAATGAAATCTAATAATACCCCACCTTGGCGTTAGGAGAAACATGAAGACCAAAAAGATGAAATTGTCTCCAGTAAGGGTCTATGAAACACTACATAAAAATGTAAAAACTGCTATAAAGAGGTTTTTCACTTTGGCTAAAATGTGGGGATAAGTAAGCCATCCTGACAGCAACACCTCTTAGCATTGTCTTGTGTCTCGCCCAGGACCGTGGCTCATGCTGTAATCCCAGCACTTTGGGAGGCCAAGGCGGGCAGATCATGAGGTCAGGAGTTCGAGACCAGCCTGACCAACATGGCGAAACCGCGTCTCTACTAAAAATACAAAAATTAGCCGGGCGTGATGGTGCGCGCCCGTAATCCCAGCTATTCAGGAGGCTGAGGAAGGAGAATCGCTTGAACTTGGGAGGTGGAGGTTGCAGTGAGCCAAGATTGAGCATTCCAGCCTGGGCCACAGAGTGCGACTCCGTTTCAAAACAAAGAAAAAAAAAATTGTCTTGTGTCATTTAAACCTTACTACCAACCTTTCTTTAACTTCTTTTCTGGTATTTGGTCATCCTTCTGTTCATATTGCTGTTATCTTCATTTCCTTAAGTGTAAATTCTTTTATTTATTGAGTTTGTTATTTTCCTCGCAAGACACTGACGTTACTCAGATGTTTTATCATTCTCAGGGCAAATGCATGAGTCAGACCTGTACAATTATTTCACACACCTGGCTAGAGAGTTTATGTGAGGGATAGATACATTACTCAACAGGACCGAAGAACTCCCAACAGAACCTTGCAAACTATCAGGAAGAGCAGCTCTCTCGCTATTAAGTTGCTGAGCTATGAAAAATGTATGCTGTGAGCTAATAGGAACCATTTTGCCACGATATAGGAAGAGCTTGCCTGAGACTGTAGAGACGAGAGAAACAGGTTTCCTGATTATATTGTTTGTGTTGCTGGATCCCACAGTCTACCTCCGGACTCTCAATAACACAGCCAGTAAATTCCCTGAGTGTTTTAGCAGAAGCCATGTTAAACCATAATTTTTTGTTACTAGCAACTGAAATTAATCGAATGAGATTTTGATTAATTCAACCTGTAGAAAAAGCCCATAGTTCTCAAACTTCTCATCAGTAGATGCCCAAGGGACCTTTCTGGGTTTTGTTGTTGTTGTTTTTGTTTGTTTATTTGTTTGAAACTGAGTCTTGCTCTGTTGCCCAGGCTGGAGTGCAGTGGAGCGATCTTAGCTCGCTGCAATATCCGCCTCTCAGGTTCAAGTGATTCTTCTGCCTCAGTCTCCCGAGTAGCTGGGATTATAGGTGCGTGCCACCATGCCTGGCTAATCTTTGTACTTTTTTAGTAGAGACAGGGTTTTACCATGTTAGCCAGGCTGGACTCGAACTCCTGACCTCAAGTGGTCCACCCTCCCTGGCCTCCCAAAGTGCTGGGATTACAGGCATAAGCCACCACGTAGAGGTCAACTGCTGCACTACAGGAAAAGAAGGTAAAGTGGAGTCACATCTGACTTCCATTTACATGCTGGTTTTAGAATCTAAGCCCCATGAAAGGTTTGACTTCACAATCTACTTAATCTTCACAGCAGCAAACAAATTTATTAACATTTATTAATGTTAAGGCTTAATGAAAAACAATGGCATAAATCCTGCAGGAAAGTAGGGAAACTTTAGAATTATCCATCTGCTGTCAATTTATCACCAGAGATTAGATTTTATCCTAAAGGCATATTTTTGGAATATCCAAATATCTGTAATATGGTCTCTCTTTCAAAATTTTCTTATATGATGTGGAAATCAAGAGCTACCTGCCTTAAGTTGATAAGATTAAAAACTGATGATTAAGTATAATATTTGAATTTATGGCAGGTAGCCAACAGGAAAACAACAAAAGATAACAAAATTACGAGCAAAAAGGGTAGTATGAATGATATGAATTTCTCAGCTTCAACATACCGGAGTGAAATAAGTACGCTTAAAGTTGAAAAGTTAAGAAGAAATGGACCAGGCACGGTGGTTCATGTCTGTAATCCCAGCACTTTGGGAGGCTAAGGTGGGTGGATCATGAGGTTAGGTGATCAAGACCATCCTGGCTAATAGGGTGAAACCCCATCTCTACTAAAAATACAAAAAATTAGCTCAGCCTGGTGGCACATGCCTGTAGTCCCAGCTACTTGGGAGGCTGAGGCAGGAGAATGGCTTGAACCTGGGAGGCAGAGGTTACGGTGAGCCGAGATGGCACCACTGCACTCCAGCCTGGCGACAGAGCAAGAGTCTGTCTCTAAATAAATAAATAATTAAAAATTAAGAGATTGATGTATAAGCATTTAATTTGGAGTTATGACAATAATCACCCAAAGAAATAAAGATAGAAATGACATGAGTGCTGATGTCCACAGAGTGAGACTAGGGCAAGTGAGAGAGATGGTTTACTTTGATTTATGCTTTTTTTTTTTCTATGTAGATGTTTCATTTTTGTGTGCACATTTATTTTATTTTATTTATTTTTTGAGACAGAGTCTCCCTCTGTTCCCCAGGCTGGAGTGCAGTGGTGCCATCATAGCTCACCGCAACGTCGACCTCGTGGGTTCAAGTGATCCTCCCACCTTAGCCTCTCGAGTAGCTGGGACTACAAGTATGTACCAACACACCCAACTAAGTTTTGTATTTTTTGTAGAGACAGGGCTGCCATGTTGACCTTTGGTTGATAATGAATCAACCAAAGCTTCAACAGGCAAATGGTAATTCAAATTTGAGTGCAAAGCCAATCCTGTGCCTCTTCCCTTTACAAAATTGTGTCTTCTTTCCATTCTCATCATACGTTCAGCAAATATTTGTGTAATATCTACCACGATAGACTAAGAAAACAGTGTAAGCACATTTCATTCAGTCGCCACTTCAAGCAGGAATAGCCTAGTGTTCAAGCCTGCTGTCTTTATATTAATACTGTCGGATTTCAAATTTCAGCATCTGTATAGATACAGCCCAGAACAAAGTTAATGTAATGGCTCTGCGGTAATAAATGCAGCATGGGAGTCCCGGTCACATAGAGTAGTTGAAATAAAGAAGTGAAGTTATATAGTGCCCATCCCATAGTAAGTGTTCAATCAATGTCGGCAACAAATATTGTTATAAAACTGCTATAGGACCGTCACACTTGGTATGATTATGTTAACTACATGTGTGAATTTAGAGGCATCAATATAGATGGCGACTGTGCCGGGTGTAGCATCTCGTAATGATGAAAAGCGTTTGTGACTAGCCAGAAAGTGGTTCGTTACCCTAACAGGCACTGTGGTGTTGGCTAAATGAACAGCAACAACAGAAGACATTTCTCAAAGTAGTTCCAGGTAAGTTGCACGTCACCCGATTCTGTGACTGTCCATCCCATTGGTATTCTGATTTCTTTTTTTCAAGGACCTTTCCTGAAAAATACTGTTGATGTCATCATTTTGACAAAGGCTTGTTGACGTATTATGAAAACTGGCATAATTGCAATTTACTCTTGTAATTAAGATTGAAACTATAAAAGGCAAATATAACTTGTTCTCATTCTTTGGTTTATGGCAATAAATCCCCTAATGGAGCTTAGACATGGTTTTCTCTTCTAACTGTTTTCACTTCCTGGTAAAGGACTATTCTTTGAAGCTGACATTTCTTGTCCCTGATCTATAAACAAGGGTTAATACGTATATTAAAATGTAGAGAAAACATTCACATTTTCTCCTGGAATTAAAGGTTAAGAAGTTCAAGTTTTAGACAAATGTTTGGAGACGAATTATAGGTAGCTACAGGCAAGACATACTGTCAAATAAACACCTTCAGATAAATGTGGAAAAGGCTAAATGTTTCCAACATGAATTTTTAAATATACTTAGAACATAATTGGTTAGATGCTGATCAGAATGAAGAATCTAATTAGCAGTAAGGGGAGGAGTCTATCTACAAAAGCATAAGAAATATTTTAAACTTAGAAATCAAAGCCTTCTGGAGTTTCTTGGTCAAACTCCCTCCTGTTCATTTGACCTATCTAAATGAGATGTGGACCAAGATTAAAATAGTATTAAATACTACGTATTTCTTCCTTTTATCTTTTATTAAAGTTGAATAAAAATAAGATGCGCTAATGGATGCCAAGAGAAAAATATACAGGAGAGATTCCTCGTGCACAGCATCAGACTATCTCATGCTAGGCTCACATCCGTCCCCACTTAACCTCACACATTCTGAGGGGCAATATTCAGGAGTTTGTAAAGTGACTGTTTACGAAACAGACTCTGATTTACTTTTCTCAGTTCAACGGTGCATTTATCTGCCTGGGTGTTTTCTTTTCTTCCTCTGTATGTGTGTATATATACATGTGTGTTGATAGTGAGCAGAACACAGCCAGGAGCAACAAACTATTTTTGGAGAAGAACTCATTTTTAATGTAAATGTGGGCTTTATAGGCAAGAATAAGAAGCTCTGATTGCAGCTAATTTCAGCAAATTAAAAAGAGCCTACGGGGAAAACTGACTGGTAATGATGAAATCAGTCAAGTGTGCAGCAATATTGATCTTCAAACACAAAGCTGAACAGATAATAAAATACAGTTTGAAAAAACATTTATTTTTATTATGAGGATATAGCAGATGCTGGCTTAAGTACTGGAATAAAATAAAAAGCCTATTGATTATTACAGCTTGTACTGACAACACTGTGTATACATAGCTCACATGCGTGTCCTCAGGCAGGGCACTAACCCAGAACTGGCACCCAGCCACTTTCTTCCGAGCAGAATCTCAGGCATTAAATATTTAGGTTTCAGTGAGTAAGGAAAAGAGAAGGAAATCAAACAGATTCCTTCTGTGTGTGCATGGAACGTTTGTCAAACTATAAACACCGCGTGTGCACAAACCCCTCTACTTCAGCCTTCAGTCCTCCCTTTGCCTTTGTTTGATTGACAAAATGTCTCCTCGGCAGACTTTCTGAATTAGGCTACAACAAGGACTTGAAATAAATGCTATGTTAACCCTTAAACAGAATTATTACTGTTAGGGTTACTTCTTACAGCAGAGCAGAAGCTTGTTCAGTATGGAAAAGGAAGCTGTCGGATTCTCAGGGTTTAGAAGTAGGACTTCAGACAGAAGATAGACACACTTGGACAGAGGAACTATAAAGGGCTCTAAAATGAATGGGAATGAGGCAGGATGATTTCAAGAAAAAAAAAACTCAACTCATTCCTTCTAAAGAATATAAATAAGCATTTCCATTCCTTCCTTCCTTTACTCATTCATTCAAATAGAGGCATAACCAGGCTGGAACCTTCAAAGTTAGAAGTCCGGCAGGGCCTGGGTCACTGTTGGTGACAGATCACTTTTCTATCCTCTCGACGTGTTTCTGGCCTTGTTTCCACAGTTTGCTCTTACCATCTTTCATCAGCGTCTTTTTAAAAACAATTTTTATTACCATAGGTTACTGGGAAACAGGTGGTGTTTGGCCACATGAGTAAGCTCTTTCTTGGTGATTTGTGAGATTTTGGTTCACCCATCACCCAAGCAGTATGTACTGTACACTATTTGTTGTCTTTAATCCCTCATTCCCTTCCCACACTTGCCTTCTAAATCCCCAAAGTCCATAGCTTAGCTCCCACTTATGAATGAGAGCATAGAATGTTTCGTTTTCCATTCCTGAATTACTTCACTTAGAATAGTAGTCTCCAGTCTTATTGAGGTCACTGTGAATGCCGTTAATTCATTCCTTTCTGTGGCTGAATAGTATTCCATCATGTATCTATATCACAGTTTCCTTATCCACTCATTGATTGATGGGTATTTGGGTTGGTTCCACTTTTCTGCACTTGCAAATTGTGCTGCCATCCACATGCATGTCCAAGTATCCTATTCATATGACTGTTTCCTCGTGTAGATACCAACTAGTGAAATTGTTGGATCAAATGATAGTTCTATTTATAGTTATTTAAGGAATCTCCACACTGTTTTTCACAGTGGTTGTACTAGTTTACGTTCCCACCAGCAGTGTAGAAGTGTTCCCTCTTCACCTCATCCAGGCCAACATCCATTATTTTTTTATTTTTGATTATGGCCATCCTTGCAGGAGTAAGCTGGTATCACATTGTGGTTTTGGTTTGCATTGCCCTGATCATTAGTGCATTTGTTCATGTGTTTCTTGGCCATTTATGTATCTTCTTTTGAGAATTGTCTGTTCATGTCCTTAGCCCACTTTTCGATGGGATTATTTGTTTCTTTCTTGCTAATTTGTTTGAGTTCACTGTAGATTCTGGATATCAGTCCTTTGTCAGATGCGTAGATTGTGAAGATTTTCTCCCAGTCTGTGGGTCGTCTGTTTACTCTGCTGACTATTCCTTTTGCCAGGCAAAACTCCTTCGTTCAGTCAAGTCCCAGACATTTGTACTTGTTTTTATTGCATTTGCCTTGGTGTTCTTGCTCACGAAGTCCTTGCCTAAGCCAGTATCTAGAAGGGTTTCTCCTATGTTATCTTCTAGAATTTTTATAGTCTCAGGCCATAGATTTAAGTCCTTGATCCATCTTGAGTTGATTTTCATTTAAGGTGAGAGATGAAGAGCCTACATGTTTCATTCACCTACATGTGGCTAGCCAATTTTTCCACCACCATTTGTTGAATAGGGTGCCCTTTCCCCACTTTCTGTTTTTGTTTGCTTTGTCAAAGATCAGTTGCCTATAAGTATTTGGGTTTATTTATGTATTCTCTGTTCTGTTCCATTGGTCTATGTGCCCATTTTTATGCCAGTACCATGCTGTTTTGGTGACTATGGCCTTATAGTATAGTTTGAAATCAGGCAGTGTGATGCCTCCAGATTTGTTCCTTTTACTTAGTCTTACTTGGAGTATGTGGGCTCTTTTTTGGTTCCATGTGAATTTTAGAATGGTTTCTTCTAGTTCTGTGAAGAATGATGGTGGTATTTTGATGGAAGTTGCATTGAATTTGTAGATTGCTTTTGGCAGTATGGTCATTTTCACAGTAGATTTTACCGATTGATGAGCATGGGGTGTGTTTCCATTTGTTTGTGTCATCTGTGATTTCTTTCAGCCATGTTTTGTAGTTTTCCTTGTAGGGGTCTTTCACCTCCTTGGTTAGGTGTATTTCTAAGAATTTTATTGTTTTTTGCTGCTATTGTAAAAAGGGTTGAGTTCTCAATTGATTCTCTGCTTGGTGGTTGTTGGTGTATATGAGAGTTACTGATTTGTGTACATTAATCTTGTATCTGGAAACTTTCCTAAATTATTTTATCAGTTCTAGGAGCTTTCTGGAGAAGTCTTTAGGGTTTTCTAGGTAAACAATCATACCCGTCAGCAAACAGTGAATTGTGACTTCCTCTTCACTGAATTGGGTGCCCTTTATTTCTTTCTCTTGTCTGACTGCTCTGGCTGGGACTTCCAGTACTATGTTGAAGAGGAGTGATGAGGTGGGCGTCCTTGTCTTGTTCTAGGTCTCAAGGAGAAAGCGTTCAACTTTTTCCCATTCAGTATTATGTTGACTGTGGGTTTGTCATAGATGGTTTTTATTACATTGAAGTATGTCCTTTGTGTGCCAATTTTGCTGACAGTTTTAATCTTAAAGGGATGCTTTATGATTAAATCCCCTAACTGAGCT